AAATACAGTCGGTAATAATCATCGACTGTATTATTAAAACACCAGCATAGGCGTAATGCTGCAGCATAAACATATTCAATGTATGTGCGATTTGCGTGAATTTACTAACAAACTGTTTGTTTGGTGTATGTCTAGGGAGTATTTTGCTGATCTTGTAAAAATAATGGTTGATGTTTGTGAATCGCTTTGTATTATTGGACATCTAAGAGTTAAAAGCCAAACAACTCAAAATGCTTAAAATTTGGTGCTCTAGCCCAATTTCACTAACAATTTTAAAGAATACTTTCATCATCATTGGACTTGCTTTAACGTTAGTTTGTTTGTTTGCTAACGCGTACACCAACGACCCTGCCATCAATATTCGCGCTATTTTAAAACTGTTCCACCTATACCAGTCTCCCATGAATTCACGCCACAGTGTCCCTTAGGCTCTTTGCGACCGCACCCTCTTGCCTTGGCATCCTACAGGTCCATAGCGACGTTTGAGACCTTTAACAGTTAGGGACAGAGCTGTGCCATAAATTTGTATGTCTACGCATGTTTTAATTTTCTGTTCTACATGTAGTCTACATGACATTTTACGTGTGCACTATGTGAACAATGTAATCGACGTAGTCTATTAATTTTTCACATCAAATAATACAAAACCTTGATAAAAAGTACTATCACTCGTATAAATAGATTTCTATGTTTTACAGTTTATTTTCTAATCAGAAAGTGAAAATATATTCAGAGACGAGCCAGATATGCAGACCACTGATGTGTTAAAAAAAGGTGGCTAAAAGATGTAATAATTAATGAAGTAAGGAACTCTTTAAAAATATTATGAAATTAAAAGGCAAAAATAAGAAAATTTTCCTCTGTGAATGAAAATTAAATTAAATTAAATTACAGAAAATTAAATAACAATCTCAATTAAATAACAGAAAATTACACTTATAAACAAATAAAAACAAGTGCAAAATTATACAATTAATTTAACATTTATTTACGATACTTATTCATTTTTGGTTGTTTTTTCCTGGCACTGTAGGGATATTTGGTTTACACGAAATTCTGTTCCAATTTGTTGTACTTGGTGAACATTCCAGTGCGTTGAGCTATTACAAAAAGTTTTCCAAGTACTCTTCTCCTCACAAAAGAGAGCTTATCTTTGTCTACACAGATTACGCAATACTCATATCAGTGGTCTACGCATTGTTTACGTGTAGACGTAGGCTATGAAACTTCGAGTAGACGCACATCTGTCGTTAGGGAGGTAGGTGGCGGACAGATGGCGCCGTAGACCGATTGACTGTGCATCCACCACCTGTCCGTTGGCCGTCATATTCGCTCAAATGCAGTATCGTTTCGGCTGGTGGTGGGTAGGAAAGGGATGGTTATTGGTAGGTGATGCATGGTGGTTTGAAAAAAAACAACCATTCTACGACAAACAGAGAAAACATCCGTGCTCGCGGTAGAATTCGAACTCACGGCCCTTCGAAACGACAGCCATCTTAGCGATATAGTGATTTATCATAGCAATCTCAGATCTGTCGTTTTCCAGTCATAATATATATTCCACTTCATTAGACGCAAAACTGTAACAACACAAAAAGAAAACATTCAATGGAATTCAATTATTCCTTTCCACAATTCGTCTTATCATACTCAGATAAAAATAATTGAATGGGTTTCATATTTTTCGACTATTACATACATTCATACACACACACAAACGCATGCGTGCGTTGTTAATTCTTACACTACTTGAAAATAAATAAAATTGTCTGCTAATAATTGTAAGTTGACCGGAACACAGATCGCTATGTATTGCAGAGAAGACAACCATCAATCAGTCCAAATATATCCTTATAAATTATACTTGCACATCCTGCAAGTGCTCAGGAAATAATGGAATGCTGAACCTATTAAATAGTAAGATCTAATAGGTGTGGTAGTAAGGCATATCGGCACAGACGCATTTGGTGTAAACTGTAAACATGAAGAGAAGTAGAAGAGGACGTCTGGGAAGTAGAGAAGAGATTGAGTGAGATACACTGGTCTCGCAATTACTTGTAGCGTGCGAGAATGTATAACCGCGATAACTACGACGATAGCCAATCCAATACTGCAAATACGCTATTACTTCCATTGTGCTGGCATGCACCCTCCAATGAAGCTATCCCTCACAAAATGGCTGAAACGACATCAATCCAAGTGGTTTAGGTTCGAACACGAATCATTTCATTAACTGTTCAATTAACTAGGGCATTAAGCGCCAAGCTGCCTTCAGTGATGTCGTTCCCAGTTCGAATGAAACTAGATCGGTATTTCTCTAATGGCGATGTGACATCCGTATACTAGCCGAAATAGTCCGTCAATGTAAACATCGATACGTCAATTTTTATAGAAAATGGACATAAATAGATTAAAAAGGATTTGCGAATATAATATTCGATATATTTTATTACATATAAATCAAGATTTCAAATGTTTAATTTTCATCATTTTTAAAATCATTTATATTTCTACACTCAACAATTTTCTAAGTCTAATTTCCTTTTGTTAGAAAATCAAACTACTACTAGTAGAAAATATTGGCTTACATGAATTCTTCTGTAACGACTAGTAGGTTTATGCAGGACCAATGTGCCGGTACATTATTATTTCATGTAGGGATAAGCAGTGTTTAGTATAAGAGTGATTTTCTCTAAAATTAAATATTCACATTTATTGAGTTTGTTTAATTTGCAAGTACCTCGATACTTTTGAGTTAATATTGTATATCTTGTTCAAATCTGTTAAGTGGTTTATCATCTGATTGCGTGCAATATTTAAAAAAAAAAATCTTTGTCTGTATCTTGTGTCTGCTACAGAATAGGAAGAACAAGGTAGGTACATCTCTAGTGAAAGGACTCCAAGCGAGCGTTACATTTGTGGTTACGACTGTTATGTGAAGTTCTTTAACCCAGAAAAGAATTATTTCTATACGATCGCATAAAAAAGATGCAGCCAAATTTTATGTCTACATAACAACTGATAGAATTTGATTTCGTTACTATGAAAATTTAATAGAGAAACCAAGAAAATAGTTTACTGCATTCAGTTTATTTACTCTGAGTTCGTATTTTAATACATATGAATTTATCGTATAATGCCATGGAGTCTAGTAGCCATCAGCATTCGTCACTAACTCTCACAGAAAACACGCGATACTGGTGAACGCCAGCAGGAATTGTGCACCTGTTATCACAGATGTAAAACTCATTTACGTATAGGCCATTCATTAGGCTTAGAGAATATATATGCAGCAGTGTCCAGTTTTAATCATAATACGTCCAGGTTATTAGACGCAAATGAAAGGAAAGAGTCGGGACGATTATAGTTGGAGCTCTATGATAGCTCAGTGGCATCTTCCAGTGGTTACTAAAAATATAATTTTAAACACTAAAAATTGTTACAGTAAATTCCTTTACTTTTAATTTTGTGAAACCGTTACACCAAAACTAGTCACAACTCAAAACCACTGAAAATGTGCAAATTCCAAATGATGAGGCAATAGAGGAAAGCATAGCAGCAAACGCCTCACAAACCGATCCGGTTAAGCTCCATTCATTCCGGTTTGAATACACTAATGTATTAAGCAAAGCACCTGTTAATGATTGTATGGCATCCAAGTAAATGCTGATGTTGGAATTAAATTTCGTGGAACTTGTGCCACGTTCCAGAAAACGTATAAAGGATGAGATACCTTAACGATTTGTCATTACTAATCGACATTCACTGCGTTTTGAATGGTACAGTCAATTTAAAGGAACCAAGAAAAAACTGTGATGGAGAAATAAATCGACTTCTTCCTTTGTACTTTGAAGTTTTTTTCCGTGTCTGTGAAAACGAAAGATATTAGTAGTGTGTAAATAATATATATCGCAAAATTGTGTATTTTATAAAACATCTTGATAATTAATACTTTTTTGTCATTTCGTGATGAGTTTACAATACTATGAGTGTATAAACACAAATCACTGAAATAAAGTTAAATAAAATATTATTTTGTTTCTTCGAAATTACTGAAGCATCAATAAAAAAAACCCAATCCCTTTTTTTGTACAAAATCAAACAAACAAGTAATGCCTATTGACTAACAATTCGATCAGACAATGCAATTGGCTATTGAGATTCAAGACAATAATATGTGCACATGTTATAATTCTGAAACCTAAATAACTTATGACTATTTCAGAATATGACTGTAATGACTTTCTCATTTTTGCATGAGTTCTTATTTGGTGCATTTCTTACGAGAGTAAGTTCAGTAGGAATTTTTATGGGCTCATAAATGAAGGAAATTGAGTAGAATGGATGTTAGAGTAGCGAAATTAGTTTAGCTACGGAGAAATCTGAGGCCGAACACATTCGCAAAAATTGGGTGTTCCGCTCGCTAGTACCTGTAAAGCATGAACAACCACTAGAAAAACACAAGCAGTTTGTAAAGATCTATATAATAAGATTATGTATTTTCAATTAATATAATTTGAAGAATTCGGAAATTAATACATTTCAGAAAATTCCTGATGAAAGTCACTTGAATCTGAGTTCTTTAATGTCCCATTATCGGCAAAAAAGATTAATTGATAAAAATGTGTTCGATTGTGTATTATTGATTATACTAAGAAATACGCATACTAGAAAACTATATTTATTTAACAGTCCCAAAAATGAAAGAAAAGTAAATGAGATAATTAAATGCAAAAATTAAACTTCATGAATATTTATCTTGCCTACGAATACTTTTATATATAAACACAAAAAGCGTGCCCCAAAAAATACCCATCTGTCCAAAAACCGAGAAAAAATTAAATTAGATAATTAAATGCCAAAATTAAACTTTATAAATATTGGCCTTGCTCGTTTTATACAGTGAAATACAAATCCTTAAAAAACGTGCCCCCCAAAAATACCCCGAACAAAGCAGCTGCGGTAAAATTCCAACATCACTTCCGTGGGAGCGCCGCGTAATGACATGTGACTTGGGCGACGTCACTGCGAAGGCGTCATCGCCGGCGGTGCGGCGCGGCGCGGCGCCCGCAGCGCGCGGCGAAATGCGTTTCCCGAGCAACCTCTTTGTGGGCCGGACGGCCTTACAAAAGCACCGCCTAACAATAGCTCTGCGTTTGTTTCAGAAGGTGCACGTGTCGAGGAGGGACGAACATCAAGGCAAGTAAGTGCTCTCCGACTCCATTATCTCTCTGGCTGTCTCTTTCCGATTCTCGCTGTCCTTGTCTCTCGCTTGTATACTGTGTCTTTCTCTTTCATATTTTAACTTCGCATTCGCAGTGTTTACGTTGTTTCCTCTCCGTGGCGATGTAGGAGAAACGCCTGTCTGCGGCAGGTTGTGCAGACGAAAAATAAGAGGTTAAAGTGAAAGATGACTAAGATGTTTATTCCTTTGGGGTATTTCATAATATGTATTCAGATGTGTGATTTTTATGTTTGTAAATATTATGGATAAAATGAATTATGCTTAAAGGGTTGGTTGATTAGGGATATTGATAAAAGTTTTCAATTCATTTATTATTCAGAACTATGAATCAAATGACTCATTATAGTCGTTTTGCATCATGAAGTCAAGTATGAAGATACAAAGTAATCTAATTATATAACGAGTAGAGATACATACTTTCTCGAATTATTTGTAACTTTTCAATTTTCGGAAATTGAGCGTGAAACTAAAGTGGGACAATATTTAAGTGTTTAGTGCTCATCCAGGAAAAAAAATAATGCAAAGAAATTTGGTGCTAATTTTGAGAAACTTTTCTTCACTAATTGCCTTCTCTACAAACAAATCATAGGCCAAACTTCTCGTTTCTTCAAATAATTATGCCTGCCCTTTTTTAAATTACTAATTTTTGAGCACATATTGCTCACAGGAAAAAATGCATTAAAACAAATCTGTGGCAGTACTTTAAAACAAATCTGAGGCATTTTTATAAGTAATTCAATAAGTAATGATCTGCTCGGAAAAACAATTTTAAAACTTTGAAGCCATTTTCGGGAAATTATTAAAATTATAGATGTTTTTTGCAGAATTACGTGCATAATTATCGTAATTTCCAAAATATTGTCCATTTTTAAAGATCTATCTTTGAAAAACAGATTTTGTTAAGAAAAAACTATCTTCAGTATTGTAATTAAAAGAGATTGCCGAACAATTTTAAACTAATTATTACAAGTTTTCGAAAATTAAGTGAGTTCAACGAAAATGAGACCTGCGCCATTTTAAGCGTTCTTTGCTCTATCCAAAAAATATTCAAATTTAAGGCATTTTTGAGAAAATTAAAAAGTTTCTTTATGCCTTCATCCTCAAACCATCCCTAAGGCTTCGAAAGTATGTCAAAGCTTCATTTCCTCAAAATCAAAACATACGTTTCAAATTATCTTCGTGTTCGTCCAAATCGATGGGAGAATATAAAATTTGGAGAAAATCCTCTGAGGCGTCTTAAGGCGTCGAAGACCTTGGCCACAGAAGTATGAATTTGGACCGATTAACAGACCTCCATTTTGTGGTTAAACTAGTTTTCGGTAACGTTGATTCCGACTTCAGATGGAAGTGTAAGAATACGATTTCCCCACTTTTTTCGATATCAGGGTTCTACAATATTATTTTATTTGTGGAAAAGTCGCCAGTTTTTGATTACAAGACTCTCTCTTTACTATGTAAGTAGGGGGTTTCCTGACCCCCTGATGTTACCGTACATTTGATTTGTCAATCCTGGTGTTTCTGAAAACCCCAATGCGGCTTCAGTGTAAGCATTGCTTCTACTTATCGAGCAGACAGTATATTGCGGTACAGAGCGGACCATTATTAAATTGCCCAGCAACGCTAAGAAAGTCAGGTATTTTATATACAAAGTAAAATAAAGGAATTAACAGGTAAAAGTAGGCCCGTTATTTACATTTAATAGAAACCTTCATGTCGGCCACGAAAACAAACATCCAGCAGAATGCAATTCAGTCTACCGTCAGAGGAAGCAAGCAACTCCGGCTCACAAACTGAATAAATTCTTCTCACGGAGAGACGTGCGCCCGCGCATATGAGCGCGAATCGGCCTTTGGACGGGCAGGGCGGTCAGAACAGCACGCGTGCGGTGGCGGACAGAGAAAGAATGAGCGCGAAGGCGGGCGTCGAACCGGGACTCTCTCCAGCGCTCCCATTGGCCTTCCGCGGGCTCCCACGTGACCTCGCTAATTCGGGACGCGCCCGCCTCGTGTTTGTGCGGAATGCTAGCGTGTAATTTACCTTACGTGCGTTTTAAAATTGGCAAAGCCCGTGCTGTGGCACGGTGTTATCAGCGCTTGCCGACTGTCTCAACCCTCCCCGACACGCCCCTCCTCAACCTCCGACTCTTTCCCGCCTTCTCCCCGCCTCCGCCCCCCGTCCCCTTCCTCGCTGTCTCCCCGCCACCCGCCGCACCGGAGAGGTGCGGTCGTTAAAAAACTCGCGCTCTGATTGGCCGCCGCAAACTGCATTACTTCGCTGGCTCCAGCCGGCTTTTTGGATTCATAGGATCCCATATGTACACAGATGTATAATACCATAATTAGTTAAATGCGCTACTCTAAATTTGAAAGCGTATAGCATTACCAGTGACGTCATTTAGGTAATTATTTCGTTCTAATACACCTAAAACGTTTTAAAGTGTAATTACAAAAAGTCATTAGAGTACGTGAAAAGCAACGTATAATGGTTTTATGGATGCAGCCTTTCAAAAAGCAAAAAAGAATTAAAATCTCCTGTAAAATGGAGGTAATGTTTTATAAAAAAAATATCATTTTGTTCTAAAAGGATTTTCTACCATCATATATGTTTCGTTAAAAGCTTCAAATAGGATAACAAATTTATACGCCGTGCCTATGTTTTCCGACTGCATTAAAGTTAATTAAGTCAATTAGTTCAAATAAGACTTGGGAACGTTGTTTTAAGCCGGGATGAACGCTTGATAGACGACCGTTTGATTCCGAAGCGAGCGCTCGCGAGCCTCGCCCGCGAACGTTTCGATATATCCTCGTCAGCGCATAATTGCCTAAGTGATTCGATTAGCGAGGGCTAATGGCAAAACGGGAGCTTTTTGTGCCAGCGGAAAAACGGGTGCGGGGTGGGAGCAGGGGGGCGGTGACGAGGGTGGAGACGACGTGGAGGCCGCGGTATGGGCGGTGGTAGGATTTGCGGTGCGAAGGCAGTGGGAACATCGACGGTCGTGGTACCAGATGGGGGTAGTGGCGGTGACTGTGGGGGTAACAATGGCGATGGCGGGGCAGGTAGGGGTGGTGGGCAGCCATATAGAAATGTTGCCGCTTTGTGAGCGCTGGCCACGAATATTGGGGAGGGGAGCGGTGGCGACGGTGGTTGGGGTGAAAGATTTTTATTACTTTTCAACTTAGTATCATCATTACCTTTGCAGCGTTGCTCGTGAAGTGGTGAGATTATGCTATGCTTATGTACGGGTTTACGCGTTGAGTCTTACGACAAGTGAACGCAATTGATGAGAATAAAACGTGTTTCTGTACATCAAAGAATCTTACCCGAGTTCCCAAGGGCTTGGAAAATTTTGTAGAATAGCGTTTTAAGAATCACTTTCAGGATTTATTGGCAGAAGTGTGAGGTAAGACTTCTTGCTGACTGCATAAACACAAAAATAGGGAGATATTTGCTCTAAGAAACGACGTCGAAGAGAATAGTCTAACACTGTTATTAAAGCATTCGTGATTTCCCGTGTTTTCTAACAGGTACATCTTCGTTCTCTTCGATGTAATGAACTCTTAGATAATGTTATTTTTAGTTTTTATTTTATTATTATTTAAATAACTTAATCCGATACTGAAGAACCAATGTGGAAATAATAATTCGCTTCAAATTTACAGAATATCCTTTTATTTAAATATTACACATCTCGTACCTCTAATTATTATTTCTCCTTTATGATATACAATAAGAGTAGCATAAGAGGGTTTAGTAAGTTAGTGAAAATAACTTCGAGTTAAAAGGTATCTTCCTCTAAATAATCCACTTGCAACAGCTCACCAACACCAAGTCAGAAAGAAACTTGTCATTATAATATTTACTCCGCTCAGCACGAACCGCAAATTAGAGATAAAGTAGAAAGTACAAAGGAGGCTCCGCGCCGTTGGAGGCCCGAGAGTCGTGAGGGGGCGAAGATCTCCTGCAGATCGGGGGGCGCGTCGGGCCCCTTTGCGAACAGGCGTGAGCTGGAGGTTCCGGGCGCTTTCGCGGGCGGGCGATAATTGTCCAACAGTAGAAAGCGTGGCTGGCAATGCCGTTGCAGCTGCAACCACGGTCTCGGCTCGCCTCCGCTCCCGCTCCCGCCCCTGCCCCATTCCCAGCCCCGCCCTCCACCCCTCCCCGCCCGCCCCGGCCATGCCCCGCCCCCGCCCCGTCCCTCCCTGTCCCCGCCCCGGCACCTGACCGCCGCCTCCTGCCCTGCCCTGCCCTGCCCTGCCTGCCCTTGCCCTCCCTTGCCTGCCCTGCCCTTGCCCTGCCCTGCCTGCCCTGCCCTGCTCCCTGCTCCTGTCCCTGCCCCCTGCTCCCCTGCTCCCTGCTCGCCTGCCTCCCTGCTCCCTGCCTCCCTGCTCCGCTGGCTCCTGCCCTGCTCCCTGCCCCTGCTCCCTGCCCTGCCCCTGCCCCTGCCCTGCACCCCCCCTGTCCCGGCCCCTGCCCCCTTCCGCCCCTCCCCGTTCCGCCCCGGCCCATCCCCGGCCCCCCGGCCCCGTCCCCCCTGTCCATCCCCGGCACCCTGCACAGCCTCCTGCCCTGCCCGGCGTCCCTGCCCCTGCCCTAGCCCCGCCCCGCCTCGCCACCGCCTTGCCCTCGCCCCGCACCGGCCACACTCCACATCCGGCCCCCGCTCCGCCGCCGCCCCGCCGCCGCTTCCTCCCCACGCCCCTTATCGCGCAACGCTCCCGTTCGCGACTGCGCGTTAGTGCGTTTCGCATCCCTTCTGACTTTTTCTCTACATCTACATTCACATTCATCCTCATCCCATCTCTACATCCACCTCCACTCACTGTCCATCTCCACTCTGTATTCTCCTCCACCTTCATATCTACATCCACCTCATCTTCCATTTCTATATCCACCTCCATCTCTATACTTATATTCATATCTATCTCCACGTTCACTTGCACATTCGCAAACACCTCTACCCCCATATCAACATTCAGTTCCACATTCGTCTCGTCATCCACCTCCACGCCCATCTGTCTCCGTCATGTCACTGCACCTGGCACAAGTCCCTTCTCCCCAGTCTTCTCTCCCCTGTGAGTACTATTCCTTTGCTTGCTCAGACCGTTATCTCCTTCGTCCTTGCAATCTCATCCGCCGCATTCTTTACTGCTTCCACCTGTCTTCGGGTCTCCAACCATGCTCCATGCCTTTTGCTCACGTCATGTGCTGCCAACGCAAAGTCGTGAACGAACTGCAGTCAGATTCCAGTCAGCAAGATTTTTCACTACTGTGTGAAAATGAAGTACTTTAAAATAGTATAGGTTTTACTACCTCCTAATAAAATGTTATTTTGACTGTTGGAATATTTTGAAGATATTTTAGCACAATTTCTTGTTTCCTTTATATTCCGCTTATATATGACATTGAAAAGTAGTCGCAGAATATAACTAACAATCATCAGAATACTCTGAATATCGAATAACGTGTTTCGAAGAAGTAAAGACAGCGTTATTAATGCATTATTTGCTTGGCACGAGAAAATAGTGTATCGTCAATCTTGCCCACACGCGTTATTTCTTTTAGTTCTGTATTCTCTGATATTGTTCTAAAAATAACAAAAATTAAATTTGTAACTCTAAAATACTAATAATCAACAAAAAATAACAAATAATTCTATGAAAACGAACTCTTCTCCAATGTTTCCGCTACATTCAATGGGATTTTTTCATACTAATATCTCATCCGTTGTAAATAAATCTGAGTGTTCAACATTGGATCTGCTTTAACAATATTTACTCCCACATCTCATAACGAGTGTTTCATTCACCCGTTGCTTTGTCTTTCATGATTGCTGGTCATTTCGCTTCATTTTTACGCCCCGAAACGAGATGCAAGATACAACGCGTTCAGATTAGCAACTAACCAAACTGCACAAAACGATGCACTGAACCTACGTACCACGAGACGCGCAAGATCATTTATATAGAATTTACGAACTGATTTCTGTCACGAAGCGTGGCAGTCACACGCACCATTCTCCGGAGCGGTTCCTCATAAACCGGGAGTTAACATCGTTCGGAGTTTATTAGAGCTATCGGCGTCGCCAAAAAAGGCCCGGCAAGCGCCGTCTGCCGGTTGTTTGCAAAACGGATTTGCTCCCCCGCACTGCGGTGCAGCTACGTTTTTCCACGCATATTCCGCGTCCATGTAATGGCGCCCAAATTATACGGACACAATGGGACCATAACACAAAATGTTTATCGGCCAGATGTGGCAATGAGGTTCCGTGGAATTTTAGGAATTCTGTTTATTTATTTCAGCAGTGCACGGTGTATGAATAAATATGTTCATTTCCGCAGAATACCGCCCGGAATTAGATATTTGGTCATACGCCACATTTCAAACTTTGATTCCGCATTTACAGACTATTCACAAAATTCGTGACATTGTTTGAAATACTGTATTATTTTTGTCGCTGGTAAACCGCTAATCCGTTGGAAACATCAAGAAAAAAGTTTGGAATTTTCGTTCCCAGTATTTTGTTCACAATTCAATTATGTCAATCGACAGATTGAGCGAGACTTCATCGAATTTCCAGTTTTTTTTTATAATAAGCTCATTGTGGAGGCGAATTTAACACAGTAGCAAGCGCGGTTTAAATTATATGGCCATCGTTATCAGTGATTCCGACAGTCATTGTACCGTAGAAATTTCAGTTTCTACACCACATATTAAATTTCTCATACCCAATGTGTAGTAATGTATTAGAACGCACGCATTAAGGGAACTAGTAATTTATGGTTACAGACAGAATTCATTGACAGATTTCTACCTCCAGAATAATTTTCATGGCAAAATGGGGCACGTTCTATTCTTTATTTAATTTTTTTTCTAAAAAACTGTTTCTAAAGTATGAATTATGCACATGTACACAGTTCTTCGCCTTATTCCAATTACTATCCTGCTATTTCTTGAGTATAGACAGGCAGCGATGTCGAGAACTCCCTGCTGGAACAACTGCGTGCACCTGCGGGAAGCGCCATCTTCGTTACTTCCTCCTCTCCCCTTCCCGCCCTCTCGATTGAAGCGCAAGGCACCGGGAGAGCGAGAGAAGACGCGAAGGCGGCGCAAGCGGCGCTGGAGGCACGCCGGCAGAATGGCACTTGTTGTGCTGTGGATCAGCAACTTGTCAATGTTTGCGCACATCAGCTGAGAATGTAATTAACTACGACGGTCCCCCTGCTTGTGCGCGCCGCGCCGCCTTCCCTCTCCCCTCTTCCTCCTCTCCACCCATCACCCCTCCTCCCCGACCCCCTTCCTTCTGTCCCGTCCCTCTTCATTGCGCTCCTTCCCCTCTACCCCTTCCCCCTCTTCATTTCGCTCCTTCTCATCCTCCCCTCCTTCCCCCCGCTCCCCCCTCCACAGCTTCCACCTCCGCCAGAGGAGTAACAGAAACAGCGGCGTCTGCGTCAAGTATCTGCGAAATATCTTCTCGCACTGGGCTTAATTGAATGTGTAATTAATATGCTACGCAAACTTTAAGTACATTCCGGCAAATATTAATTAAACGTCTGGGCAAATACCCCGCATAGATACTCGGATACACGGCAAACCATTTCCAGAACAAATATTTTCAACGTGTTTCTCGTGAAATGTGCTGCGATGCAACTCTTTCGCCTCCTTTCTTCGCTTAGCGAAGGAGCTCGCGCGCGTGCGGGAGGGGCGGGGACGGGGGTGAGGGAGTCGGGTGTGCGGGAGAGAGCTCTGTGCAAATATTTCCATTCGGCGCGAGGGGGCGACTCTCGATTTCTCCAGGAATTCTGGAAGTCTTCTCGATGAAGAGTGAGGGGACAGGTAGGAAAGCGACTGACAACGAACGCTGTGGAATGGAATGCGCTGGAAGGTGAACCACACAAAGGAACCTCTCGTCCTCCATATTCGGTTACGCCCCGTTGGGGATGTGAACTTTTCTTCTTTCTCCACGACGGTTAGAAGGGAAGTGTGCGGGTAAAGGGGTTTTCTTTCGATCTAATCTTGAATTAGATTATTCTTGTCCCTGTCTTGGGGGACAAGCATAATTAGAGTGGGATTGGGATAACGAGCACTAAATATCAATCCACAATGTGCCTGTGTACATTGTTACAGCAATTTCCAGTCACGTTGTTCATTTTTCCGTGGTTTCTCGAGCAGTATCAGACAAACGCCAAAGCAATGCTCTTACAAACGGGCCAAGGACTGCGAGCCGTCTACCGTTCCTCTCCCTTGTTCTATCTCCGCATTGTCACTCTAACTTCACACTCAAACACATGTTCACAGTAGACTGTGAATCGGCGACTGATTTCGATAGATCGATTGGCAGTCGCACAACAAGTATTAAAGTAATGAACAAATGACTACAGAAAACGATCATTCTATTAAGTTTAAATATTTTGTCGATATTTTGTGTTCCATCAAATTGGTTACAAAGGGCACACATGTATGGAGCTCACTTCCTTTCATCACAAAATTTGATTGAGGAAAAAGTTCAAAATGCGTCAATGAAAACCTTTCGTGTAGATGTTACGACCGAAAATTCAAGATTGTAATTTTGACGTGCTACACAAGGTACTGTAGTTAATGGAAGAGAAATAAAAATTCAATTTACGAAGCAACAGTAATTTGAATATCATTTTGTATAAATTAGTCTAGGTTGTGAGGGAAACTTTTCGTTTAAATAAGCTTCAGTTCTATCACTGCCATGAAATAATTATATACTTACATGGTGCCAGCATCGTTTCGAGAAATAATTGTGAATTCTCTGAGGCTAAACACACAAACTGCGTAAAAACGCAACTGCAAATTGGAAACTAAATCCTACATTTTTATCCATATTTCTGTATCCTGCTTATACAGTATATTCAAGAACATACATGTGAAATTCATTATAACGAATGTGTTTATTTCCTTTTCTTTTGCGACCGAAGTTTTCTCTAAACAAGATACTTCAAGGAAATGTCAAGAGAATGTAGATATATCATATTTTCAATAACAATTTGAAGTTGTGTAATATATAATAGTGAGCTGCATATGTGGGTGTGATTAAAGGAAGAGGAAGGAAATATTGCGCGCGCTCCTTGGCCCGTTCGTTAGAGTATAACTTCGGCATTCGCCTGGTACTGTTCGAAAACCACGTAACACTACCAATGTGAACAGCCGCTCTCTAGATTTCTCTAGACGGCGGCTGAATCCGATCTAACTATTTAGATCCAATCGAAAATCCGCTACCGTCGGGACTCGAACTGTTGGTCCTCCAGATCAATGCCACTGCAGTGACATCAGCAATACTGTCTATGAGCTAAACATAGCCACAACTCAGCACTTCAGTTCAAAACACGAGTTCAAGATATCTGCCCGTCATCATCATCATCATCATCACCACATCGTTGCAAAACGCACGTCGCCGGCGGGCGGCTAAATTAGATTACCCACGAGCGATTTCGCGCGACATAATAGGGCGGAGTCGCTAATCAGGCTGTGCAACCGTTAAAGGAACCGAGAGGCCCAAAAAAGGGGGAGTGGAAAATGAAACCCCGCACGGGCGGGGCATTCATGTCCGTTAACGGCGACATTATTAGTAAACGGAAGCGGAGCCGGGAAATAACGCGTTGTTGCCGCCTTGATTTACGAGCGTATTAATGAAAAGGATAATATATGAAGCAGTAAAGTCGTGCGTGTGTTCGGACGCCGGAGAAACGGGAACGGCAGCGGCGGGCGGCGAGCGGCGGGCGGCGGGCGGCGGGCGGCGTGCG